ATGTTTTAACCCTTTGCGATAATCAATAAGCGTCCAACACTGCAGCAATGCAAGTAATTTTGAGCCATGAACTGCTATAGGCCTCTTAGTCATCTACGGACCAGAACGGAGGGAAATGCAAAATGAAATCTAACTTTGAAGAAGTTATATACTTAAATAAAATATGCCTTGAACCGGTCATATGAATATGACGTCAGATATCTTACAGGTAACGGATATCCGACCAGAATTTCGACCTATGCAGCAAGCGGCACATCTGTATGTCAATATGACTTACAGCACTTTCCTTAAGAACTGTTATCTGCAAGGCAGGAGCAGGATTAACAAAAAACTGGTGTGCTCCAGCCATTGTAAATGAAACAAACCAAACCGGACATTTCAGAAATGCATATATTGATCTAGCATACACATCTTACAGTCATGATAAAAAATATCGTTGTGCAGGCCAGACTGCATTAAAAAGTTTTTAAATGTCCTGATACCGCACTTCATGGTACATAGCGTTGGCATCCTGCGGCCAACGACTGAAAGAATAATCGAATAACCTACACACTATCGCAGGTTCCCACTCCTCATCGCCAAAGTCTAGTGTTTCAAAAGCGCTGCGAAAATTAGCACAACTTTTTTACAGTGAGGAAAAGGACTTCGCCTTACACTCGGTGCCGTAACCTGCAAAAGTCATACTCTAAGGCAGCATCGACGTAAACCAACTTGTCGATCTCAACCTCACAGTAGTAAGGTAATATTGCCATTCGGCTGAAAAGTATTCTAGTTGTGCCACGAACATGCATGTTGTCTGAGCCGACATTGTGATGACGTTGCTGATCGTCCTGCAGCAGGCACTTAAATACCATGGGGTATTGACCTGCTTAAACGGCCCCATAACCTTCCGGCAGCAGGAGGCTGTGGCTGTGCCACCTTGCTGCATACCTGACGCAATATCTTGTGAACTGAATCCTTTTCTATGACAGTATTAGTAAAAACCAACTCTAATTGGCTTAAAGCTCAAGCCATAATGACGAATTACATCAAGAAAGTTGAAAATAGTAGCCGAGCACCGGTCAATTAGTAAATGATAACCTTGTCAAACCACAGGTGTTTGCTAAAGTCGAGCATCTTTAAAACTGCTGGGATGATCGGCGCAGATCGTCCACCGTTCTTACCCTGCGGTCCCGGTATCCGCCACAAAATAGCCACCTTTGATCAAACCAGGCTTGAATTTTATCTCCGTCGAGCCGACATGGCCTCCAATCAACGTACCGTTGCACAGCTTTGCGATCAGCTGCAGACCGGAGAGATGTTGTGGTCTAAAACAGTTCAAATTATGCTTATTAGAAAACGCACCACCACGAATAAATGAAAAATTACAAAAGCTTAATCGCTAGTGCTTTGTGACCGACATATAAAATTCAAGTTTGAGCTGGCTTTTGAAGTTAAATTAGACGATAAATCTTCTTCCTACTTCTTCTGTATGGATCTAAGTTGATGACCTACGTAGTCTGCTATGTGACGAAGCATCGTGTACTGACGTTGTTTAAAGTACGTTGTTGTAAGTTAACGTAAGTTGTGCAGTATTTTTACGTAGTCGTTGAACACACACCTGTACCTCTGAAGGCACCAATATAAGTTCCTTAACTTACAAGACGTGGTTAACGAATAAACGATTAACGATATTTGAATGCGTTATTTATTGGACGCATATTGTCTTCGCGATACTTCCTGGGGTGGTTTATCACACTGAATGTCCTAATGTGGTGCCAAAGATAACTTATTCAGTGACCAAGTGGAGTAGCTGGCCGGACTACAACCGTTCACTGCACCCGTGGATGCAAGGGCATAAACAACTGCTAGCACGTAAGCCGATTGTCTCACATCAGATATACCTCTATATATTTACTTCCGATCAGATTCAAAATACGTTTAACCAGTTCTGGCAGCCCGTTCGTTTCTATCGTGAGAATATTTTAGCCTTCCAAGTTCAACTTCATGCTCTAGTCGTGAAGCGTGAATATGGTCTGAGCATCCAAGTTTACTGGAACCGTTGTTAACTGCTAGGAGGTCGCACTCAGTTAAACTTACATGAAAGGAATCATTTGTGGTGTCCCTTCTTCGCCAGGTTTACAATAGGGCGCTGATAATTCACTCCATGCAGAAAGTAAAGAGCGTTTTATTTTCGAAGGTAATATCTGCAGCTAAAATTGACAATAGCAGGTACCCTGTTGATTCTTTCGAGAGAAGAGCCATTAGCTTATCTGCCTCAGAAGAGGATAAATGGTGAGTAACCTGTTTGGATTAGTAACCTACAGACTGTAAATTAGACGTTCTGTGGACTGCGACACCATAACCTAGGTGTGGAATCCCATGGCAAAAAGAGGTATGACGCAATGAATTTCAATCATCCGCTATGGCTAACTCTGGAGGCGCATCAAAAACCTGAAAGCGGCCGTTAACGAAGAACTAATGAAAAGAGATGTACGAATCTATTCTGTTAGTTTCAGACCCATTTATTTCTGGCCAAATGCAGCATTACTTGAGAAAACCCGTGTGAGAGACGGGTTTGATGCTGGGCCAGGAACATGAGGCTATCCTTTCCATGTGAAAGTCATTTAAAGGGCGCACAAATAGCATGTAAATCGTTGAAGTTCGAAAGTTAGCTGCTTAAAAGGAATCATAATACAACTTCATGCTTCAGTATACACAAAAAACAAACAGAGGAAACAGAATCCAGAATTAATTACAAAAGAAGAACATGAAAAGCGTGTGTAAAACTACCAAATTTCCGCTTTCCCAACACCTTATCCAACAGTTGGCCTAATAACGCAATACACACGTCCATAAAATCCATATGTACCTTGATTTGGACAGGTTATCGCTGCTGTATCTATGCCCCCAGAGATCTTCGTTTCAACAAAAAATCAAGAATGACGGAAAAACAGTGTACAATAGCACTGGCTTCGACAAATAAAGCGCGAAATGTGAGGAATGATTATATCCCTTCACAAATATCCTCAACAGAACCAGAGATCAAAAAAGAGATTAATCTTGACTGACCAACTGATAGAGAATAAACATAAGCGTTCAATTTCGGTCTGAGATTTTCTCCCGCACAAAAGGAAACGTGGAGAGCAGAATATAATACATGAACAAGACAGGCGCAGAAGCGTATTCAGAAAGAAAATATTTATTCTACTACGCTTAAACCGTTGTATTATAGCAGAAGCGTCAAAATACAACTAAGTCATATCGTCTTTTAGGCTTTTCGCGCTAGCAATCTCATGCTCAGTCGTTCACTACGCTAATGATCAGACTGAAGTTGCTCACCCGGTAGAGAGTCAGAACCGAGAGGTGCTGGGTTCGATCCCCCTAACTTGCCCTCTATTCATCCGAGATTATTAAATAAGTACCAATCTCAAGGAAGGGACCAGGAGACTACAGACTATGCTTGGAACATAGCCCCTGCCGTCGACTCCGCCTTCAAAGCAAGGCATTCCTAGATTTTGGCATGGAAATAGAAACCAGCGCCCTTCCATTAAGTTCATGGAACGAAGGGCACAAAAAATGATCCTAAGATGAGGGTGCAAGGAAAACTGATATTCCAACAATTACACACCTTCCGTCCTTCCGTGCTAATCACACGAAAATGATCACAAGCGTAAGCAGTGCCATCTCACTTAACACTGCCATCAGAGCAGTCTGTCCAACTCAGCCATAAATTTAGCAGACGTGTTTTCGGTTTAATAGCAAAACGGATCGAGAGATGTGCCGTTTAAATAAGAATAACAAAAATTCTGTCTGTTCTCAACTGCGTTGTCTATCAACTGTTGTAAGAATATCTCGGCGTCACTGGATCTGAGATGCTTCTTGGGTTCAAAAATGCAAAGTTGACTGCTAATGTAAAGTCAAAGGATCCATACTACATCGTCTTATTGGGGCACGTGGGGACAAAAAATGAACTTTGCATGTTTTCTTGAAATCTCGCATTCCACCTTTCTTTGCCTGTGTCATCTGCCTCACGTCGTGGACTTCGCAAAAACCGATCTTTGCGTACTACGGCAGAACCCTAAGTCGATAACACGTGATGAATGCACTGACTTTAAAAGGTCGGTACAAGAACACGTGTAATGCATCCTAAATGCTAACGTCTAGAAAATAGATCTTCTTTAGCAACTCATCCTGAATATTTCAAAATCACTGCACTAGAGCTGAAATTACTCATGAAAATATACTCTAACAGAAATGAGTCGCCACTCAGTCATCGACGCGTTGGCTCGTACCACAATATATTAGTAATCATCTGCGATAAATCGTAAATTGCTGTTCAATCTGCATACTGCTAAAGTACATATCTCTGCTCCATTTTTTGTGCTAAAAGTCGATTTTGCTCTGTATGTTTACCAACATAATTAATTA